TCCATTTGAGAAAGAATTCTTCACTGTTGATTTCAGAAAAGAGTGGACTAAATGCCATTCTTCTCAAATAACACATGCCTCATTCCCAGAGGCTATTTAGTTAAAATGAATTTCATGGTAGATAAGGAAAAGGAAAAATTCTTGAATCACAATTGCAAAAATTTGCTCAGTCAACCTTAATTTATCCAATGCTTTTACTGCATAAATAAAAGAGCATTTTCTTTGAATAATGTCATATAGAGGGAGAGTCTTCATAGTAAAACACAAATTTCTGGTAAGGAAAAATGCTAAATGGGAAGGGAGGGAAAGCAATCCAATGTTAAAATGATGACTTTAGGGCTGAATAAATATCTTCACAAGATAGACAAATACTGCCCTAGCTCATCAGATGAACTTTTCTATCCTTCAATGCAGGAGAGAACCTCTGTTAACTCAGTCACCTATTTCTTTAAAATACTGCTAAGTAACGAGAAAGTAAGTTGACTTATTAGCCACTTCCTGCAACCACACCTGCTTATCCTGTGACATCCTACCTCAGTTCTGGAGGCATGGTCTTCAAATGTCCATCACCTTCCATACTTCTGGAAAGCCCACCTTGCCACTGTGCATCACTACAGGATCTCTCCCAGTGTCCACCTCTCCAGTAACCACCTACATAGTGTCTGCCCAAACCTTCTCCTTTGAAGGCCTCTTTACATTTCCCAAAGCTAACAGAGTCCTAGCAACTGGCAGAGCCAAACACCACAATGACAAATGGATCCTCCATTTCATGATACTGCAGAAAATATTCTCTGTCGTGGCACTCTGTCATGGTAAGAGGCAGCACCTTCACCAAACATCAGGCCTTGATCTCCTTGGGATGACACTTAACAGAAGAAGATTTATAGCCTGAGCTTATTACCATACAACATTCAGGATGCCTGAAAATTCTCCTGGGTCTGACCACCACTTGTTCTTGGGGATGTGCAAAAAAGATAATGCTTCTTTGAATGTATGTTCTTTCCTTCTTAGTTATCCCCTTGTTCATTATTCCTTTTCTCTGGGATCTCATTCCCAAATAAATCTGGAGCATGAGACTGTCTTAACCTAGCTTTTCCAGAAAATTGTGCCTGGTGCTAAAGTCTCAGACTTTTCAAGGATTCTTAAGAAATGGTCTCAGAACTCTTCATCCTGGAGATGAAGGCAGGAGAATTCATCCATAGCCTCTGGTTAATCCCCTTCACCACCATTTGTCCAATCTGGTTCTGTATCCAATAACTCCATCACACTTCCAGAGCAAGCACACAAGCTTGCACTGTGTTCTACAAACACCCTGCACTGTAGTATCATAGAAGCCTTGAATCAGGAAGGAGGAGGGGGAATCCTGCACAAAGCCCATCCAGACCTACATGAATAGAGCCATAAAACAGTCTGTGGGTAAGAGATAAAGTAGAGAAAATTTATAGGGATGCTCAAGAGGTGTTAGAAGAGTTAAAACAGTAAGAGCAGGGGCACCTGGGCGGCTCAGTGGTTAAGCCTCTGCCTTCAGCTCAGGTCATGATCCCAGGGTCCTGGGATAGAGCCCTGCATCGGGCTCCCTGCTCAGCGGGATGCCTGCTTCCCCCTCTCCACTCCCCCTGCTTGTGTTTCCTCTCTCACTGTCTGTCAAATAAATAAATAAAATATTTAAAAAAAAAAAAACAGTAAGAGCAAGATATAAGAATATGAGTATACTATGATCCTGAGGGTACATTAGCATAAAAGTCAGAGGCATATGGGGAGATACTATTGCAATCAGAAACCATGTGGCTTTCCAGCAAATTCATTGGTTAATCCATGACAGACAGTGAAGGAATTGAGTTTCTCTAAATAGTAGAAAAAGCCTTTATCCCCAGCTATTCAGTACATGGACAAAGAAAGGCAGAGGGTAAAAGACAAATTTCAGGAGCTAGAAAGGAAAAGATATTGCTGGGGGAAAGGAGACACAAGTCAGGCAGATGCATCAGATAAAAGTCCAGAGAATATCAAATGACAGCCCTTTTTTGCACTCAGGGATGTGGGTCCAGGAAAGACATAAGAAGCAGTAACCTATTACCATGGACAACCAAGGAATAGGAAGCAGGCTCCCCTAGGTCTCAGAATCCTACCGGATCAGCAAGTTGTGCTTGGAACTCCCTCTGCAGAGTCCTTAGAGATGGAGTCTGGGTGAGGAGAGGCCTAGGAGACAGTTAAATTGATGCAAAAGGGCTGGAATCTAGGCATGGTAGTGGCAGTGGCCCCAGCCCAAAGGGAAGTGACCACTTCAGCTCCAGCAGACAGGGACACAGATGGGTGGGGGCAATGGCAGAAACATCCATATCTCACTGAGCGCTTACTTCTTATCCTAGCTGATGCCATGAGGCTCATTTCAAGAGAGCATTTCCCTTAGAAGAAACTTCTTTGTAGTTGTCAAAGTATCTTCCGGGTGTCTTATAACAAATGTCATTCATGCACCCACCCATTCTATAACTGTCAATCCCCAGGAGCATCTACTCCACACTAGCCACCATGTAGGGATTGAAGTATAGAATAATGACCAGGGGTGCACAGTGGGTGGAGCTTCTGGTGATGGCTAGCTAGGCTCAGCCTCAAGTTCAGAGGAGGTAACATTCCCATGGAGCCAACAGATACCTCACAAACATTTAGGTGAGCCAAGTAAGGAGGGAGGGGACCCCCAAACATGGGTTTTAATGATTTAGATTTTTCAAAGACCATAGCTTATTACAGGTTGTATGTTGAGAATAGGCCTGCATTAGTGACCTCAGTTTTATTTTTTCTTGAGCAGAGCGATCTTTGGTGTTAAGGATCAGGGAATCCTACATCTCTTGTCCCTGTGCTCCTCCAGGAAGGGAGTCCCATTACAAGCAGAGTCCTTAGGACCTAGTGTTAGTTTAATGGAACAAGTAGATGAGCTCACAGGGCTGCATTGCTCTGAGGCTGCTGAACCTGATTACTTTCTCCAGCATTTTCACTGATCAGGGTCCTCATGTCTTATCTGCTATTGGCTCTGAAGCTTTTCTTGGAGTAAAGAATTTTTATGGCCAAAGAGACATTTTAGCATTTCCTCTCTCTTTCCAGGCCAAGGTACACTAAGTGATGGATAAACAGAATCACTTTTTTCCATCTGGGGAAATTCATGCCACTATGCCCTTGGTCTCCCAGAATAACCACAAAGATCTTGTTTATCTCCATCTATCTCCACTTCATGTATTAAGCAGCCCAACAAGCCTGATCCATGCCAAGAGTTAGGGTCTTCCCGAAAAGAGGAGTGTTTCTAGTTCTAGCAGCCCTGAAACTTCCTTCTCTCTCATTTCAGGCCACAGTACCCTCACGATCAACACTACACCTGGGTTCAAAGGATGCTCAGTCAGGGTTAGGTCAAGGTGACATCACTGTCAGATAGTAAATGCCCAAAAAAAAAAAAAAAAAAAAAAAAAGTCAAGTAGGTGGTTTCATCACAAAAGCTGAGCCAACATGTAAATCAAGGGGTTGGGGTGAATCGTATTTAACAGGCAAAGAATGAAGAGATAGCAGTTCCAAAAAGATTCCATTTCCTTGAGACAAGTCTCAATCCTTATATAAAAGGCTAATTGGTTGGGGGCACCACACCAGATTCAGCTGACCACATAGCCTGCATAGTATGCATAACAGGTGAGTCTCTTTCTTTGAAACTCTTTACTATTCACTCAGGTTATCTTATTTTTATTGGAACTTCCTTGGTCTTCTTGGTATCTTTTCCCCATTGTTGGAGTTTACTCATCAGAGTCATAGCCTCTAGAAATATCTTTGTTTTAAAAATAATCATAGTTTGGGCTTAAAGGGACTTGTTCCACCAGTTCCTGCTGTGTTAGTGAGAGAGGGCTGGGTTGTGCAAGAACCCAAAGCCAGCAAGATAGAGATGAGACCTTAGGTTCACTGCACTTTTAGTGATGCTATCATTCTTTTTTTTTTTTTAAGATTTTATTTTATTTATTTGACAGACAGAGATCACAAGTAGGCAGAGAGGCAGGCAGAAAGAGAAAGGGGGGAAGCAGGCTCCCTGCTGAGCAGAGAGCCCAATGTGGGGCTTGATCCCAGGACCATGGGATCACGACCTGGGCAGAAGGCAGAGGCTTTAATCCACTGAGCCACCCAGGCACTCCAATGCTATCATTCTTAATTCATAATTTCAATACAGAGAATTTTGTTCTTCCAACAAATCATTTTGTGAGAATTTACTATGTTGGGCAGCTCACCTACTACAAAAACATTTAGACAATAGGGAAAACACTCGATGAAACTACAATTTATTCAGGAAAAAAAGAAGACATGGTCATGAGGAGCTAAAATTGACATACAAAGTCATCAGCAGGAGGTGAGAAAGGTGAGTGAAGTACTGTGGCAGTTTGGGAGACAGATGATTTCTGGAAGAAATCTCTAGAAAACTTCCCACCAATATCATATGAGGCCATCTTTGATCCATGGTGGCTGAGCAGTATTTGAACAAGCAGGAATGAGGAAAACATTGGAGGCCAGGGAAGGTGGGAGCAAAGCCAGGGGCGAGATGGTGTAGGTTCTAGAGAAGTCAATAGTTACCTTACAGATGACAAGCCATTCTATTTGTTGGAAATATGTGGGTGGGCTGAAGTTACAGGGTTGTTGCTGTTATTAATTTTTCTTTTAAACAATATCACATTTCTATATGCTCCAATCTTGAGATTTCACATTCTTGCCAGGAGCCTGCTGTTCTGTTCCATTGTTAATTGGGTTTTAAGATGTGCCAGGAAGATACAGGCTCTACTCAAGTGAGACAAACCAAATCGCCTTTACATTCCTCCTTCTCAAAAGCTCAAAAATCATTAATGTGCCCATTGTGGTAGAAAGGGAGGAAGGAAAACATTTGTTTGCTAAGATAACTGAAGCGGCATTGAACATGGCTTCTACCCTAGCTAGTCCCTGTTTAAGTCATCTCTTCTGTCTGTTGGTCCAGCCTCCTGTGAAGCATGAGTTCCCTTCAGCAGAAGCAACCCTGCACCCCTCCCCCACAGCCTCAGCAGCAGCAGGTGAAACAGTTTTGCCAACCTCCACTGCAGGAACCAGGTGTCCCCAAAAGCAAGGAACCATGCCACCCCAAAGTTCCTGAGCCCTGTCACCCCAAGTTTCCTGACCCATGTCCCTCAACAGTCACTGCAGCACCAGCTCAGCAGAAGACCAAGTGGAAGTAATGGGGTCCATAGCCAAGCAAGCCCTTGGAGAGCCAATAGCCAGATGCTGAACCTCCTCCTCTGCTTTTGCATCACATTTGCCTTGCAGCTAGCATGATGTCACCCTGAGTCATAACCCCTTCTCACTTGCCCCTAAAAACGTGTGCTATGAAGTTTTTCTTCCCAACACTCTAAGCCCCTGAGCCTCTGATTTAGGCTGTATGTCTTGGTACCTTAGAGCCTCAGTTCCAACTGTTCAGGATTCATCTGAAAAAGTACATGGAGGTGATAACAAGAGGATCAGCTCTATTCTTCCCCCATTAAATGCATTTTCAATTTCATTCCTAATTTTGTATAGTGGTCTGAACCAATGCCTTCCTTTCCCTTGTGAAGTAGGACCTATATACAGGTTAGTAGGACCTATATACAGGCCTCACTCAGAGGCATTTGGTCCTGATTGTTTGTGGAGGAGGGTGTGGTTTGCCCCATGGATCCTTCCTGGGCGGGCAATTGCATGTTGTGCAGTGCCACCAAAAAGTTGATGCTTTGGACCTCTAGGACTGGAGCAGGGCTCCTCTTCATCTCAGTGAGTCACATTAGAATCTTGTTTAGTGCCTGTCCAAGCTGACTCTGATTTTCTGCCCCCAAATCTAGCTTCCAGATTGCTGACTTATCCAGCTAATTCCCGATTATTTCAAAGGATGTTGTTTCTATATATATGACTATGCCCCTCATTTCCTGATAACCATAATTCAAATTCTCAAATATATGCAAAGACTTGAAGCCTCCACTTGGTTATCTCAACCAATCCTCTTCCATTCACTGAGTGCCCACTCTGTGCCAGAAAGATGATGGGGATTCATGGTGCTTGCTTTGGGCATTTCCAGTCTTCTAGAGAGGTGTACTTCATTCTCTGCTTCACTAGTCATACAAACAAATTGACATACTCATGCATGGTAGTGAGGAAGTCTCCCAGAGTAACACAAGAGCTCATCCTCTATATCCCCCAAGTGGAAGCTGTTCACGTCACACTTGATATGATAGGAGTCGTGGAGAGTGAGGACTATGAAGCCCAACATCCCATCTTCTTAGAGTATAGAAATGTCAACTGTACATTTTTATATATGTGTATATATTCATTTTTTAAAAGTATGTTTCTTTTTTATGTTATTGAAAGAAAAAGCAAATTTTCCTGCAGCAGTATGAAAAGAGACACATTTTCCTAAGAAACAATAAACAAACCATGAGCATTTGGTAGAACTCAAGCAGTTTTTCTATTTTTGATAATAATGTTTTTACCTGATTGCATCTTTAAGATTATAACATCTGTTTGAAAATATTCACCCTAAACGTCTTATGATCCTAAATGTCTTCTTGTTTAATTGGTAGATAAAGTCTACTATCATATTCAAGTAAATACTGCTTCCTAGTACCAGAGCCAACTAACCAAACAAACAGAAAAATGTGTTTATATCATGCTATGTTTATTTGTCAGCATAGGCTAACTGCTATAACAAACATCCTCCCTCCCCCAGTTGTTGCATTTCATGGCACATTGTCTTGTATATCCCACAAAGAGATATACTACAAAAAAGGGTAGTATATCCGTGTGCAGAGGAAAATGGCTCTGGTGGACCCTTCAAGCTCTGCCACAGGTTATGCTTCTGATCCTCAAAATATCCATTTAATCCTTGTGTCTCATTAGCAGAACTTAACCCCCCAAGGAGGGGGAAAATAAAACATAATCTAGAGTAAAAATCTCAAGTTTCTGGGTGATATGAAATTCTCTCTACCATGTCTTCTTAGAGCTCTTACTGATTCAGCAAACTATGAGATTAACAGATGAACCATTTCTTCCTGTTATCCATCATCCAATGGTGACATCTGTACATGAAAACTAAAGAGAAACTACCATATGCAAAAAGAAATAGTGGGAGACAAATGATATCAGTAGGCCCTAGTATTCTGACATTTAGCTGGGCAGGCACTGTGAAGCCATTCCCTCACAGACTCCAACATCCAGAAGTGACAGAAGACCTATGATAAGGTCTTGATTCTGCTCTTTGGAAGGTACTCCTTTTTCCTTCATGGTCCATCATTCTGCTGTTGGTAGGATTATTCCTTTTACAAGATCAAATACTAAGGGTGTGTTGTGGATAGTGTTCTCCTTGTTTAAGTAAACTTGGTAGCTCACTTTCTAACCAAGTGTAATTTTAAGGCTTTTAGAAACATATTTTGTTTTATATGAAATCCAGTCTGTGGCTACTTTGAAGATATGATTCCTCAAAAACTTCATAGACTGCTAATCTATTTGCTTCCAATCAATTCTATTAGGAGTAAATATATCCAATTTTTTTTCCCAGAAAACATTCCTTTTGAAAGATTGATTGGTTGATTGATTTTTAGAAAGAGAGAGAGAGTGGGGAGAGAGGCAGAGGGCAAGGAAGAGAGAGAATCTCAAGCAGACTTCCAACTGAGTGGGGAGCCCTACGTGGGGCTTGATCTTACAACCTTGACATCATGACCTGAGCTGAAATCAAGAGTTGGATGCTCAACCAACTGAGCCACCCAGGCACCCACTTTCCCAGAAAACATTTTTATGCTTATCTTATTTATTCTTATGCTTTTTTTTTTGAAGATTTTTATTTATTTATTTGAGAGAGAGAGAGAGAGAGAACATGAGAGGAGAGAGGTCAGCTGGAGAAGCAGACTCCCTGCTGAGCAGGGAGCCTGACACGGGACTTGATCCCAGGACTCCAGGATCATGACCTGAGCCGAAGGCAGTCACCTAACCAACTGAGCCACCCAGGCGCCCCCTCTTATGCTTTTCTTTGTCTTTGTCAACTCTAGCTTCTCTGACACTATTTGGAAAAATAAACTGAAGTGGGAGCATATTAAATCTTAATCTAATCTTGGCTGCAAACCTGAATATTAATCCTCTCAAAACCACTCTTAATTTTATCTTTTTCTATTTAGTATCTAAAAGTAACTGACTTTCCCAAATTTCCAGATTCCTGGTTTCCCCCCATTCCCTTGTATTCCTATTTGAGAAAAGAAAAAAAAAACAATTTTTTAAAATGACTTTATTGAAATAGAACTCACATCAATGAAATTTACCCTTTTCTAAAAAAATGTGTTTCAAGACTGACAGTCCCAACTTACAATGTGACAAGTTTTTGATTTTACAGTGGTGCAAAAGCCATAACATATTCAGTAGAAACCATCCCTCAAATCTTGAATTCGGATCTTCTCCTGGGCTAGAGAAATGCAGTACCTACTCTCTTGTGATGTTGGTCAATGGCAGTCGGAGTTAGTAGCCAGCCATGTAATCACAAGAGTCAACACCAACACACTGACAACATGCTGCATGCATATGACCATTCTGTTTTTCACTTGTACAGTGTTCAATAAATTACAATATCTACAACAATTTACTATAAAATAGTCTTTGTGTTAGATGATTTTATCCAACTGTAGACTCATATACATGTTTTACACATGTTTAAGGTAGGCTGGTCTAAGCTATGTTCAGTAGGTTAGGTGTATTAAATGCATTTTCAACTTATAGCATTTTCAGTTTATGAAAGGTTTACTAGAATACAACCCCATCATAAGTTAAGAAAGGCCTGTAGTTATTTCTTTGTTTTGTTTTGTTTTTAAGATTTATTTATTTATCCTAGAGAGAGAGACCACCCACGTGAGTGGGAGGAGGGGCAGAGGGAGAGAGAAAGAAGCTCCAGCCAACTCCCTGTTAAGCATGGAGCTTAACACAGGGCTCAATCCCATGACCTCAAGATCCCCACCTGAGCCAAACTCAAGAGTCAATGCTCAACCAACTGAGCCACCCACGTGCCCTGGAAGGCCTGTACATTTGTACAGTGATCATCAATGCCTAATTTCAAAATACTTGAATTTCTCCATATGGATAAACTGTCACTTTCCCCCAAGCCCTTGGGAAATACTAGTCTACTTTGTGTCTCTATATCTTTGCCTATTCTGGACACTTCCTGTAATGGCATATTTGGACTTCTGTGTGAGATTCTTTAACTTATCATAATCTTTTAAAGATTGATCCATGTTGTAGCACGTATTAGTATTTCAAATAATATTATATTGCCAAATAATATTACACCACTTGGACATACCACATTTTTCAGCTGATGTGCATTTGGGTTGTTTCCATTTTTTAGCCATTATGAATATTGTTGTTATGAATATGATGTGCAAATTTAATGTGAATATATGTTTTCAATTTGCTTAGAAATATAGCTAGGAGTGGAATTGCTGTGTCATATGGTAACTTTATGTTTCACATTTGGAGGAACTTCCAAAATGTTTCCAAACCAGCTGCACAATTTTCCATTCCCAGTAACAATGTACAAGAGTTCTAACTTCACATCTGCAGTGACACTTCTTATTGTCTTTTAATTATAGCCATCCAAGTGGATATAAAGTGGTATTGTGTTATGGTTTTAACTGGTTTGCATTTATAAAGCAAGTAATGATGGAAAACATCTTTTCATGTACTTATTACTTACTATCCATTTGTATAGCTTCTTTAGAAAAATATCTATTCAAAGTCTTGGCCCATTTTTAATTGTACTATTTTTCATTTTATTGTTGTATTCTAAGTGTTCTTTATATACTCTGGAAAAAATGATTTACAAATACTTTCTTATTCTATGGCTTGTCTTTCACTCTCTCAGTGGTGTCCTTTAAAGCACAAAAGTTTTTAAGTTTTCCAAGGTCTTATTTATCTCTTTTTTCTTTCCTTTTGTCACTTGTGGGTTTGGAGTCATAGCTCAGAAACCATTGCCTAATTTGAAGCAATAAAGATTCATACTTACATTTTTTAAGAGTTTCATAGTTGTTGGATTTACATTTAGATCTATGGTCCATTTTGAGTTCATTTTTGTGCATAGTATGAGGTACTGGTCCAATTTTATTATTTACATATGGATATCCAATGGTCCCAACACTATTTGTTGAAAAGACTATATTTCCCCCATTGTATTCTTTTG